ATATAACGTGCGTTAAAAGAACGTAATGTCCGGCAGCAGAAGATGGCGAAGATCGAGAAAGGAAGAGCAAGAGCACAATGGAATTGTAAGAAAACGCATGTACAATGGAATGGGCGACAATGGATTAGGGTTTGCAACGGGAACAGTACAGTTTGATATGATGGAATGATATTTTGCAAATTGACGATTGACTTTATGGTATTCACATTTTATTGAGATAGTCTGCAATCTTTGTGCTAAATACAATCGATTGTCCCCACCCGTGTTCTTCTTCACTACAATGGTATGAATTTGTTTGTTAGGTGAGTTTTCGGACGGCACAGATGATTTCAAGTGTGGATGGTGGTGAAGCTGAGTTTCCCTTGGCTATCAGAATGAGTCGTGTTGAAACATTCTGTGTATGTGACTGAATTATTGTGAATTTATTGTGTCGCAGTGGATACAGTATATTTGGTTATCTTTTGATATATATATATGTATATATATATATAGATATAAATGTGATAACGTTTATTTTGTATTTGTGCAGGTGACAATGGTGCTGGTTGGTGATGAAATTAATTGATTGTTGTGGAGCGTTGAATGTGTGAAATGCAATAATGGATTAATGAAATGAATGCGAGACGGATGGATGGTGGATTGTACAGTCGTCAGACGAGCACTAGAATGTGATTGAGAGTGGGTAAGTAATGTTGGTGTAATGTATAGGAGTAGGTTGGAAGAAAGATTGGGGTGGCCAGATCAAAGCATGGATCAAATCCATGAAGTCACTGACAAGTGGACTGAGGCATGTTGGTAGGTGTAGACTATCTGGTTGGGATCCGCGAGACGATAGCAACCGATGGTTAGAGACTGTGAATGACATGGCTCGAAATCGTTTGCAATGGCTCAAGTGCGTCCAGTCTTTGTGTTCTCCCAAATTCCAATCTTCTGAATTCTTCATGTTCCTTTTCTTCTCTTTCCCAATTTATTTCACTCGATTATACTCCTTGAATAACATCTTGAAACCCTAATATATCTGATTACTGCTTCTACTTTTACTACCTCTACGACTATGGGAGTACAATCGACAATTGTATCTCTGTGCTAATGTGGTATAACAAGTCGAACTGATGTACGTACGTACGGAGTTCTACGTTGTTGACTGACTGACTGACTGAATGAATGAATGAATGAATGTGAAAGAAGTTAATATGAGAATGACGTCTATGTGTTTGGGTTGTTGAGCAAATAGATGGATCTAGATGTGAATTTGGTGAAATATTTACACAGCTACAGGCACAACCACATGTATATATATATGTATGTGTATTGATATGTGCGTGCATGCCTGAATATATGTTTCGTGTGGTATTTTGTGCGCGACTGTGTCCTGTTGTCGTGAATGGATAGTTGTGTGTTTGTGGTATGATTGTAGGTAGAGGTGTTAATTCCGGTGCACATACGATATCGCTGTGCCCCGTGCAAGAGCCTCTAAAATTGATCATCACTACTGAGTGGCGTTATTGGTCTTATGACAGTGAAACAAAGCGAGAAGTCAGTCGGTCGGTCGCGACGTAGAATTTGGTACGTCTGTACATGGTTTTAGGTAGCCATGGCCCATTTGCACAGAGAGATGGAATTGTCAGGCGAAATCCCAGAATAGTAGAGGTAGTCAAAGTATTAGCGGTGATTAAAAAGATTAGGCATCGAAGATACTATTGAAGAGGATATGACTTAGTGAAACAAGAACTGAAAAAATTTATGAGGGATTGAAGAGCTCAGAGTTCGGTGTAAGACAAAGGATGGATGCACCTGCGCCATTTCAAACGGCTTTTTAGCCATGTCATTCAAAGTCTGTAACTATTAGTTACTGTAATCACGCGGACCCGAACCAATTGGTGTACAGGAAGCAATAAAAATGGAGAATGAGTAAGACCAGGTGAAGTGTTCTAGTGTTGTGTAGTTTTGTGTTTTGGTCGGTGTGTAGTTAGTGATGATGGTGTAGAGGAGTTGATTTCAGTGTGATATTGATTATTGTTGTTGAGAGTGTTACGCGTTGTGTGTGTGTGTGTGTGCATCATGTTGCAGAGGCTTAAATCGCAGTGGACAAGTCTTGAGTTCACTGAGTAAGTACCTCTGAAATTGACTGCAAGTCAGCCACGATATGTGTTGATAACATGTGTCGCCTTGACTTGGTATAGTGTAGTTGTGAGAGGTGATATTCCTGTGTGTATGCATTTGGTTTTGTGTTGGAAGATTGTGGTCAGGTGATTGTTGTCTGCGGTTGTGTTTGATGTTTGTATATGTTGATTTATAAGTGATATGTTGTTGAATGGAGCAGTGTTTGCTGTGGTGTGAGTTGTGACTGGTATGATTTGCTGATGGTATGAATTGATATTTGTTTGTTAGGTGAGTTTTCGGACGGCACAGATGATTTCAAGTGTGGATGGTGGTGAAGCTGAGTTTCCCTTGGCTATCAGAATGAGTCGTGTTGAAACATTCTGTGTATGTGACTGAATTATTGTGAATTTATTGTGTCGCAGTGGATATAGTATATTTGGTTATCTTTTGATATATGTATATGTATATATATATAGATATAAATGTGATAACGTTTATTTTGTATTTGTGCAGGTGACAATGGTGCTGGTTGGTGATGAAATTAATTGATTGTTGTGGAGCGTTGAATGTGTGAAATGCAATAATGGATTAATGAAATGAATGCGAGACGGATGGATGGTGGATTGTACAGTCGTCAGACGAGCACTAGAATGTGATTGAGAGTGGGTAAGTAATGTTGGTGTAATGTATAGGAGTAGGTTGGAAGAAAGATTGGGGTGGCCAGATCAAAGCATGGATCAAATCCATGAAGTCACTGACAAGTGGACTGAGGCATGTTGGTAGGTGTAGACTATCTGGTTGGGATCCGCGAGACGATAGCAACCGATGGTTAGAGACTGTGAATGACATGGCTCGAAATCGTTTGCAATGGCTCAAGTGCGTCCAGTCTTTGTGTTCTCCCAAATTCCAATCTTCTGAATTCTTCATGTTCCTTTTCTTCTCTTTCCCAATTTATTTCACTCGATTATACTCCTTGAATAACATCTTGAAACCCTAATATATCTGATTACTGCTTCTACTTTTACTACCTCTACGACTATGGGAGTACAATCGACAATTGTATCTCTGTGCTAATGTGGTATAACAAGTCGAACTGATGTACGTACGTACGGAGTTCTACGTTGTTGACTGACTGACTGACTGAATGAATGAATGAATGAATGTGAAAGAAGTTAATATGAGAATGACGTCTATGTGTTTGGGTTGTTGAGCAAATAGATGGATCTAGATGTGAATTTGGTGAAATATTTACACAGCTACAGGCACAACCACATGTATATATATATGTATGTGTATTGATATGTGCGTGCATGCCTGAATATATGTTTCGTGTGGTATTTTGTGCGCGACTGTGTCCTGTTGTCGTGAATGGATAGTTGTGTGTTTGTGGTATGATTGTAGGTAGAGGTGTTAATTCCGGTGCACATACGATATCGCTGTGCCCCGTGCAAGAGCCTCTAAAATTGATCATCACTACTGAGTGGCGTTATTGGTCTTATGACAGTGAAACAAAGCGAGAAGTCAGTCGGTCGGTCGCGACGTAGAATTTGGTACGTCTGTACATGGTTTTAGGTAGCCATGGCCCATTTGCACAGAGAGATGGAATTGTCAGGCGAAATCCCAGAATAGTAGAGGTAGTCAAAGTATTAGCGGTGATTAAAAAGATTAGGCATCGAAGATACTATTGAAGAGGATATGACTTAGTGAAACAAGAACTGAAAAAATTTATGAGGGATTGAAGAGCTCAGAGTTCGGTGTAAGACAAAGGATGGATGCACCTGCGCCATTTCAAACGGCTTTTTAGCCATGTCATTCAAAGTCTGTAACTATTAGTTACTGTAATCACGCGGACCCGAACCAATTGGTGTACAGGAAGCAATAAAAATGGAGAATGAGTAAGACCAGGTGAAGTGTTCTAGTGTTGTGTAGTTTTGTGTTTTGGTCGGTGTGTAGTTAGTGATGATGGTGTAGAGGAGTTGATTTCAGTGTGATATTGATTATTGTTGTTGAGAGTGTTACGCGTTGTGTGTGTGTGTGTGTGCATCATGTTGCAGAGGCTTAAATCGCAGTGGACAAGTCTTGAGTTCACTGAGTAAGTACCTCTGAAATTGACTGCAAGTCAGCCACGATATGTGTTGATAACATGTGTCGCCTTGACTTGGTATAGTGTAGTTGTGAGAGGTGATATTCCTGTGTGTATGCATTTGGTTTTGTGTTGGAAGATTGTGGTCAGGTGATTGTTGTCTGCGGTTGTGTTTGATGTTTGTATATGTTGATTTATAAGTGATATGTTGTTGAATGGAGCAGTGTTTGCTGTGGTGTGAGTTGTGACTGGTATGATTTGCTGATGGTATGAATTGATATTTGTTTGTTAGGTGAGTTTTCGGACGGCACAGATGATTTCAAGTGTGGATGGTGGTGAAGCTGAGTTTCCCTTGGCTATCAGAATGAGTCGTGTTGAAACATTCTGTGTATGTGACTGAATTATTGTGAATTTATTGTGTCGCAGTGGATATAGTATATTTGGTTATCTTTTGATATATGTATATGTATATATATATATAGATATAAATGTGATAACGTTTATTTTGTATTTGTGCAGGTGACAATGGTGCTGGTTGGTGATGAAATTAATTGATTGTTGTGGAGCGTTGAATGTGTGAAATGCAATAATGGATTAATGAAATGAATGCGAGACGGATGGATGGTGGATTGTACAGTCGTCAGACGAGCACTAGAATGTGATTGAGAGTGGGTAAGTAATGTTGGTGTAATGTATAGGAGTAGGTTGGAAGAAAGATTGGGGTGGCCAGATCAAAGCATGGATCAAATCCATGAAGTCACTGACAAGTGGACTGAGGCATGTTGGTAGGTGTAGACTATCTGGTTGGGATCCGCGAGACGATAGCAACCGATGGTTAGAGACTGTGAATGACATGGCTCGAAATCGTTTGCAATGGCTCAAGTGCGTCCAGTCTTTGTGTTCTCCCAAATTCCAATCTTCTGAATTCTTCATGTTCCTTTTCTTCTCTTTCCCAATTTATTTCACTCGATTATACTCCTTGAATAACATCTTGAAACCCTAATATATCTGATTACTGCTTCTACTTTTACTACCTCTACGACTATGGGAGTACAATCGACAATTGTATCTCTGTGCTAATGTGGTATAACAAGTCGAACTGATGTACGTACGTACGGAGTTCTACGTTGTTGACTGACTGACTGACTGAATGAATGAATGAATGTGAAAGAAGTTAATATGAGAATGACGTCTATGTGTTTGGGTTGTTGAGCAAATAGATGGATCTAGATGTGAATTTGGTGAAATATTTACACAGCTACAGGCACAACCACATGTATATATATATGTATGTGTATTGATATGTGCGTGCATGCCTGAATATATGTTTCGTGTGGTATTTTGTGCGCGACTGTGTCCTGTTGTCGTGAATGGATAGTTGTGTGTTTGTGGTATGATTGTAGGTAGAGGTGTTAATTCCGGTGCACATACGATATCGCTGTGCCCCGTGCAAGAGCCTCTAAAATTGATCATCACTACTGAGTGGCGTTATTGGTCTTATGACAGTGAAACAAAGCGAGAAGTCAGTCGGTCGGTCGCGACGTAGAATTTGGTACGTCTGTACATGGTTTTAGGTAGCCATGGCCCATTTGCACAGAGAGATGGAATTGTCAGGCGAAATCCCAGAATAGTAGAGGTAGTCAAAGTATTAGCGGTGATTAAAAAGATTAGGCATCGAAGATACTATTGAAGAGGATATGACTTAGTGAAACAAGAACTGAAAAAATTTATGAGGGATTGAAGAGCTCAGAGTTCGGTGTAAGACAAAGGATGGATGCACCTGCGCCATTTCAAACGGCTTTTTAGCCATGTCATTCAAAGTCTGTAACTATTAGTTACTGTAATCACGCGGACCCGAACCAATTGGTGTACAGGAAGCAATAAAAATGGAGAATGAGTAAGACCAGGTGAAGTGTTCTAGTGTTGTGTAGTTTTGTGTTTTGGTCGGTGTGTAGTTAGTGATGATGGTGTAGAGGAGTTGATTTCAGTGTGATATTGATTATTGTTGTTGAGAGTGTTACGCGTTGTGTGTGTGTGTGTGTGTGCATCATGTTGCAGAGGCTTAAATCGCAGTGGACAAGTCTTGAGTTCACTGAGTAAGTACCTCTGAAATTGACTGCAAGTCAGCCACGATATGTGTTGATAACATGTGTCGCCTTGACTTGGTATAGTGTAGTTGTGAGAGGTGATATTCCTGTGTGTATGCATTTGGTTTTGTGTTGGAAGATTGTGGTCAGGTGATTGTTGTCTGCGGTTGTGTTTGATGTTTGTATATGTTGATTTATAAGTGATATGTTGTTGAATGGAGCAGTGTTTGCTGTGGTGTGAGTTGTGACTGGTATGATTTGCTGATGGTATGAATTGATATTTGTTTGTTAGGTGAGTTTTCGGACGGCACAGATGATTTCAAGTGTGGATGGTGGTGAAGCTGAGTTTCCCTTGGCTATCAGAATGAGTCGTGTTGAAACATTCTGTGTATGTGACTGAATTATTGTGAATTTATTGTGTCGCAGTGGATATAGTATATTTGGTTATCTTTTGATATATGTATATGTATATATATATAGATATAAATGTGATAACGTTTATTTTGTATTTGTGCAGGTGACAATGGTGCTGGTTGGTGATGAAATTAATTGATTGTTGTGGAGCGTTGAATGTGTGAAATGCAATAATGGATTAATGAAATGAATGCGAGACGGATGGATGGTGGATTGTACAGTCGTCAGACGAGCACTAGAATGTGATTGAGAGTGGGTAAGTAATGTTGGTGTAATGTATAGGAGTAGGTTGGAAGAAAGATTGGGGTGGCCAGATCAAAGCATGGATCAAATCCATGAAGTCACTGACAAGTGGACTGAGGCATGTTGGTAGGTGTAGACTATCTGGTTGGGATCCGCGAGACGATAGCAACCGATGGTTAGAGACTGTGAATGACATGGCTCGAAATCGTTTGCAATGGCTCAAGTGCGTCCAGTCTTTGTGTTCTCCCAAATTCCAATCTTCTGAATTCTTCATGTTCCTTTTCTTCTCTTTCCCAATTTATTTCACTCGATTATACTCCTTGAATAACATCTTGAAACCCTAATATATCTGATTACTGCTTCTACTTTTACTACCTCTACGACTATGGGAGTACAATCGACAATTGTATCTCTGTGCTAATGTGGTATAACAAGTCGAACTGATGTACGTACGTACGGAGTTCTACGTTGTTGACTGACTGACTGACTGAAAATGAATGAATGAATGAATGTGAAAGAAGTTAATATGAGAATGACGTCTATGTGTTTGGGTTGTTGAGCAAATAGATGGATCTAGATGTGAATTTGGTGAAATATTTACACAGCTACAGGCACAACCACATGTATATATATATGTATGTGTATTGATATGTGCGTGCATGCCTGAATATATGTTTCGTGTGGTATTTTGTGCGCGACTGTGTCCTGTTGTCGTGAATGGATAGTTGTGTGTTTGTGGTATGATTGTAGGTAGAGGTGTTAATTCCGGTGCACATACGATATCGCTGTGCCCCGTGCAAGAGCCTCTAAAATTGATCATCACTACTGAGTGGCGTTATTGGTCTTATGACAGTGAAACAAAGCGAGAAGTCAGTCGGTCGGTCGCGACGTAGAATTTGGTACGTCTGTACATGGTTTTAGGTAGCCATGGCCCATTTGCACAGAGAGATGGAATTGTCAGGCGAAATCCCAGAATAGTAGAGGTAGTCAAAGTATTAGCGGTGATTAAAAAGATTAGGCATCGAAGATACTATTGAAGAGGATATGACTTAGTGAAACAAGAACTGAAAAAATTTATGAGGGATTGAAGAGCTCAGAGTTCGGTGTAAGACAAAGGATGGATGCACCTGCGCCATTTCAAACGGCTTTTTAGCCATGTCATTCAAAGTCTGTAACTATTAGTTACTGTAATCACGCGGACCCGAACCAATTGGTGTACAGGAAGCAATAAAAATGGAGAATGAGTAAGACCAGGTGAAGTGTTCTAGTGTTGTGTAGTTTTGTGTTTTGGTCGGTGTGTAGTTAGTGATGATGGTGTAGAGGAGTTGATTTCAGTGTGATATTGATTATTGTTGTTGAGAGTGTTACGCGTTGTGTGTGTGTGTGTGTGTGCATCATGTTGCAGAGGCTTAAATCGCAGTGGACAAGTCTTGAGTTCACTGAGTAAGTACCTCTGAAATTGACTGCAAGTCAGCCACGATATGTGTTGATAACATGTGTCGCCTTGACTTGGTATAGTGTAGTTGTGAGAGGTGATATTCCTGTGTGTATGCATTTGGTTTTGTGTTGGAAGATTGTGGTCAGGTGATTGTTGTCTGCGGTTGTGTTTGATGTTTGTATATGTTGATTTATAAGTGATATGTTGTTGAATGGAGCAGTGTTTGCTGTGGTGTGAGTTGTGACTGGTATGATTTGCTGATGGTATGAATTGATATTTGTTTGTTAGGTGAGTTTTCGGACGGCACAGATGATTTCAAGTGTGGATGGTGGTGAAGCTGAGTTTCCCTTGGCTATCAGAATGAGTCGTGTTGAAACATTCTGTGTATGTGACTGAATTATTGTGAATTTATTGTGTCGCAGTGGATATAGTATATTTGGTTATCTTTTGATATATGTATATGTATATATATATAGATATAAATGTGATAACGTTTATTTTGTATTTGTGCAGGTGACAATGGTGCTGGTTGGTGATGAAATTAATTGATTGTTGTGGAGCGTTGAATGTGTGAAATGCAATAATGGATTAATGAAATGAATGCGAGACGGATGGATGGTGGATTGTACAGTCGTCAGACGAGCACTAGAATGTGATTGAGAGTGGGTAAGTAATGTTGGTGTAATGTATAGGAGTAGGTTGGAAGAAAGATTGGGGTGGCCAGATCAAAGCATGGATCAAATCCATGAAGTCACTGACAAGTGGACTGAGGCATGTTGGTAGGTGTAGACTATCTGGTTGGGATCCGCGAGACGATAGCAACCGATGGTTAGAGACTGTGAATGACATGGCTCGAAATCGTTTGCAATGGCTCAAGTGCGTCCAGTCTTTGTGTTCTCCCAAATTCCAATCTTCTGAATTCTTCATGTTCCTTTTCTTCTCTTTCCCAATTTATTTCACTCGATTATACTCCTTGAATAACATCTTGAAACCCTAATATATCTGATTACTGCTTCTACTTTTACTACCTCTACGACTATGGGAGTACAATCGACAATTGTATCTCTGTGCTAATGTGGTATAACAAGTCGAACTGATGTACGTACGTACGGAGTTCTACGTTGTTGACTGACTGACTGACTAAATGAATGAATGAATGAATGTGAAAGAAGTTAATATGAGAATGACGTCTATGTGTTTGGGTTGTTGAGCAAATAGATGGATCTAGATGTGAATTTGGTGAAATATTTACACAGCTACAGGCACAACCACATGTATATATATATGTATGTGTATTGATATGTGCGTGCATGCCTGAATATATGTTTCGTGTGGTATTTTGTGCGCGACTGTGTCCTGTTGTCGTGAATGGATAGTTGTGTGTTTGTGGTATGATTGTAGGTAGAGGTGTTAATTCCGGTGCACATACGATATCGCTGTGCCCCGTGCAAGAGCCTCTAAAATTGATCATCACTACTGAGTGGCGTTATTGGTCTTATGACAGTGAAACAAAGCGAGAAGTCAGTCGGTCGGTCGCGACGTAGAATTTGGTACGTCTGTACATGGTTTTAGGTAGCCATGGCCCATTTGCACAGAGAGATGGAATTGTCAGGCGAAATCCCAGAATAGTAGAGGTAGTCAAAGTATTAGCGGTGATTAAAAAGATTAGGCATCGAAGATACTATTGAAGAGGATATGACTTAGTGAAACAAGAACTGAAAAAATTTATGAGGGATTGAAGAGCTCAGAGTTCGGTGTAAGACAAAGGATGGATGCACCTGCGCCATTTCAAACGGCTTTTTAGCCATGTCATTCAAAGTCTGTAACTATTAGTTACTGTAATCACGCGGACCCGAACCAATTGGTGTACAGGAAGCAATAAAAATGGAGAATGAGTAAGACCAGGTGAAGTGTTCTAGTGTTGTGTAGTTTTGTGTTTTGGTCGGTGTGTAGTTAGTGATGATGGTGTAGAGGAGTTGATTTCAGTGTGATATTGATTATTGTTGTTGAGAGTGTTACGCGTTGTGTGTGTGTGTGTGTGTGCATCATGTTGCAGAGGCTTAAATCGCAGTGGACAAGTCTTGAGTTCACTGAGTAAGTACCTCTGAAATTGACTGCAAGTCAGCCACGATATGTGTTGATAACATGTGTCGCCTTGACTTGGTATAGTGTAGTTGTGAGAGGTGATATTCCTGTGTGTATGCATTTGGTTTTGTGTTGGAAGATTGTGGTCAGGTGATTGTTGTCTGCGGTTGTGTTTGATGTTTGTATATGTTGATTTATAAGTGATATGTTGTTGAATGGAGCAGTGTTTGCTGTGGTGTGAGTTGTGACTGGTATGATTTGCTGATGGTATGAATTGATATTTGTTTGTTAGGTGAGTTTTCGGACGGCACAGATGATTTCAAGTGTGGATGGTGGTGAAGCTGAGTTTCCCTTGGCTATCAGAATGAG